CAAATCCTATCTACATGTACCTATTCATATATCAGACAGCCAATTTCTGCGCACCTATGAATATCAATTCACACATTCGTGTACTTAACCTTATTCTCACACAATGGTCCTTTTTACTGTAAATTGGTATTAACGACCATTCACGTCACAATGCCATTATCTCTTTCTATTTTATTACCTTTTCTTCTAAGTGATGCAGTTGTTAGTAACTGAACTGTTTTTTTTTTTTATTATACTAATGTCTATTCTCGTTATTTCTGTTCTATCGTTGGCATTCATTTATGGTTTGTCATTATCAGTAACCAGAGGTCGGTTACGAGTCCAAGTAGAAAATTGATGGTGGGGACCTTATTCTACATGATAAAATTTATGGATGTTTATGTTTCATGTAAAAACACATACAGACCAACCAAAAAGCGAACAGACATTAAATGCATGGTATAATAAATTTTTGAAAGGCAATAATATGATATAAAGAAAGGCAATTGCAGACATACACTTTTAGAGAAAGAAAGACTTTTCTAGTTTTTTATATTTCGTAAATTCTAAGGAAAAATATTTTCAAAATCAATGGCTTTAGCAATCTCGTTTGCTATAGAGACCATTGCCAAATTAAATATCTCTTGTGAGACCGTAGATCTCATTTTTTAATTAGTTTCAGTTTTGAAAAACTTCTTTCCCCTGAAGCTAAGACATATATATACCTCATATGATTAAAAAAAAAAAAAAAGTCCCGTTAGGTACGGAGCCCAATTTTGATCAAATCGGGCCAAATCGGCTTAAAAATCGGCCCTGTCAGTGACATTGTTAATATCCTAGTTCTACGATGATAATGGTTGATGATACCAATGACAATAAGACAATAGTAATAGTAATTATGATAATCTTCTTAAACTGATGACTCTGTCCCCTTTAAGTGTCTCTTGTCCAAGAATTCTGCCCCCTTAACTGAGGATATTCTTCCCCGTCTGCCCCCCCCCCCCTTTCCTGAAGATTCTTAACTGAGTATACCTTTAATTAAGGATTCTCTTTCACCTTCACCTGAGGATTCTATTCCCCTTTAACTGATTCTTTTTTTTTTTTTTAATCCTTGCGTGAGAATCTCCCCCCCCCCTTTAGCTGAAGATCTGTCGCCCTTTAATTGATTTTTTTTTTTTACCCTCACCTGAGGATCCCTTTTCTTCCCCTTACCTGAGACTACTCTTTCCCTTACCTTCCCCCCCTTACCTAGGATTCTCTCCCCCTTTACCTTTGGATTCTCTCCCCTTTACTCCGTTTACCTGAGGATCCTGGAGGATCTCCCTCTCTCTCCCTTTACCTTAGGATGGATTCCACTACCGCCCTCCCGTTTATCTGAGGATTCCAAGGATCCTCTCCCCTCTATCTAAGATTCCACTCCCCCTTACCTAAGATCCTCTCCCCTTTACCTAAGATCTCTCCCCTCTACCTAAGGATTCTTTCCCTTACCTAAGAATCCTCTCCCCTTTACCTAAGATCTCTCTCCCCTCTACCTAAGGATTCCACTCCGCCCTTACCTAAGAATCCTCTCCCCTTTACCTAAGATTCCACTCCCCTCTATCGAAGGATCCTCTCCCTCCCTATCTATTACCTAAGGATCCACTCCCCCCTATCTACCGACTCCCCTCCGCCCTTACCTGAGGATTCTTACCCAAGGATCCTCTCCCCTCTACCTAAGGACTCCCCTCCGCCCTTACCTGAGGATCCTGTTGATGGAGGACACGGAGGGCGCCGTGGAGTTGGTGCAGACGCTCTCCGAGATGAGCTTCTCGCGGATCTCCCACGCGAAGATGGTCGGGTTCTCGCGCTTGTACTGCTCGATCTTGTTGACCACCTGCGGGGTCGCCACCTTGGGCTTCGAGCCCCCGATCATGCCGGGGGGGCGGAGGGATCCTGGTTGGGGTGGGGAAGGGTTGGAAGGGGTGAGGGGGTGGGGGTTGAGGGTGGGAAGGAGGGGGGGTGGATAGGGGTGGAAGGGGTGGGTGAGGAGGGTTGTTGGGGGGAGGGTGGGGAGGGGGGGGGGGGAGGAGGGGTTGGATGTAGGGTTTGGGTTTTGGAGTGGGAAGATTTTGTAGGAGGGGGGGAGGGAAGGGGGAAGAAGAATGAGGTGTTAGTATAGTGATAGTTTTTATTATTATTATTATTATCTGTATGACTATTTTTGTTTTTCTTTCTCTTTGTCTCTATATCTCTTTCTCTCTTTTTCTCTCTTACTCTCTTTTCTCTCTCTCTCTATCCCTCTCTCTCTTCTCTCTCTCTCTCTCTCTCTCCCTCCCTCTCTCTTCTCTCCTCTCTCTCTCTCCCTCCCCTCTCTCCCCTCTCCCTCCCTCTCCCTCTCTCCTCTCCTCTCTCTCCTCTCTCCCTCTTTCTTCTTTTCCCCGCTCTATATCTTATTGCCCTGACGTTTATGGCAAGAGAAAGCATAGCCTAGAAATCTATTTACATACGTGCCCCCTCCAACCGACAAAGAAAACGAAGCCACTTTTTATCGAACCCCGATGTCTAAAACTTAAAAAAGGAGTAAAAACCTAAATTGATGTTGTCATGGGAGGCATCAAGGCCATGCAAAATAGCAATCTGGCTTCCCCTTCCTCCCCCCCACCCTTCCCCCTACCCCTCCCGTCCCCCTCCCGTCCCCTCTCCCCCTCCTCCCTCCCGTCCCCTCCCCTCCCTCCTCTCCCCCTCCCTCCCCCTCTCTCCCCTCATGTCCCCCTCCCGTCCCTCTCCCGTCCCCTCCCCCTCCCCCTCCCCCCTCCCCCCTCTCCCCCTGTCGTCCTCCTCCCCCTCCCCCTCCTTCCCCCTCCCTCTCCCCCCTCCTCTCCCTCCCCTCCCTCCCCCCTCTCCCCCTCCCTCTCCCTCTCCCTCTCCCATCCCTCTCCCCCACCCCCACCAATTCATCATAGAAGCTCAAGCCCCAGACGTACCTAGCAGCTTGTTGACGGCCCCCTGCTGCGTCACCATTTGCTGTGCTAACTCGTACTGACGCAGCGACGGCAGGGTGTACCTGCTCAGGTCAAGGGGCGACGCAGGAGAGGCCGCTGAGGGAGAGCTGGAAGACAAGCCGCTTCTCGTGTACAGGTCGCGGAGGGTGGCCGGGACCGAGCCTGCATAGAAAACGGAGTCGGGCGGTGAGCGAAAGAAAGTGGGAAATGCACTGTGCGTGACGCCAAGGGGTCCATTTTCTATTCGCTTATAAAAAGGAGAAGAAAAAAAGATAGAAAATGGAATGGTGAATATATTAAAACGCATAATAAAAGATAAAAGGATGAATATATTAAAACACATCATTCCAAAATTAAGAAATGAAGATAAAAGAAAAAAATATGAATATATTAAAACGCATAATTCCAAAATTAAGAAATGAAGTATAAAAAGAAGAAAAAAAAAAGATTAAAAAGATAAAATGATGAATATATTAATACACTTCATTCCAAAATTAAGAAATGAAGAAATAACAAAATTGATGATGATATACATAATAGTAATGGTGATATAGATGATAATTTTTATAGTAATGATTTAACTATAACAATAATTATAATAATGACAATGACACTATTATAATGAGGATTTAATCAAAATAATGATAATAATAGAAATGACACTACTAATAGTAGCAATAACAATAATGATAACAATTATCCAATTATCGCAAGTACAACAACAACAATAATAATAATGTTGCTACAATAATAATGATAAAGATAATAGTAAATATAATACCAATAATATTAATAATAACAAACATTGATAGCAAAACTTGCAGTAAATCTCAGCAATAATAACAAAAATAAGATAAAATATTAGATATATGTCTTTAGATAGATAAACATAGATAGATATAGATAGAAATAGATTGAGAAATAAAAATAGTTAGAAATAGGAATAGATAGGTAAGTAAATGAATAGATAGGTAAGCAAATAGATAAACAGGTAGGTAGATAAACACATTAATAAAAATAGATACAAATGGTGTTGGGATATATTGGAAAAATACGGACCATAAATACATAAAACACACACACAAACACACACACACACACACACACACACACACACACACACACACACACACACACACACACACACACACACACACACACACACACACACACACACACACACACACACACACACACACACACACACACACACACACACACACACACACACACACTATATTGCCGACTTTGGATGGAAAAAAAAACTTTTTTCTTTTTTTTTCGAGAGCAGCAGCTGTATCTGGTGACCGCCAACCATAAACAACGTCAATACAAATCCAGTTAATTATGATGGTAAAATGCTACGTATATATATATTACACCGTAACTCTGCTTGTTGGTAAACAAAAGAAACTTTATGATTACTGTTTTTTTCCTGTCTTTTAGGTCATAAAAGATAAGAAATATGAAAGAAGGAAGAAAATATAGTTATACGGTGTGTGGTGTGTGTGTGTGTGTGTGTGTGTGTGTGTGTGTGTGTGTGTGTGTGTGTGTGTGTGTGTGTGTGTGTGTGGTGAGTGAGTGAGTGAGTGAGTGAGTGAGTGAGTGAGTGAGTGAGTGAGTTGAGTGAGTGAGTGGTGAGTGTGTGAGTGTGTGTGTGTGTATGTATGTGTGTGTGTGTGTGTGTGTGAAGAAAGATTAGAGGGTGATATATAATATAAGCTATCATATAATATATAAAATCATTGATAGCACGAGGCTGCCATGATGTTGCAAAAATACAACATAAGGTCATTAAATGTATGGGGACAAATATAAAGATTTTTTTTATCATTTCACGAGTTATTTAAAGAATAATAATAATAATGATAAAGATTTTTTTTTTATCATTTCACGAGTTATTTAAATATGATAATAATAATGATAAAGATTTTTATCATTTTCACGAGTTTTATTTAAAGAATGATAATAATAATGATAAAGATTTTTTAAATCATTTCACGAGTTATTTAAAGAATGATAATGATAATGATAAATATATTTTTTATTATTCACGAGTTATTTAAATAATAATTAAATGATCAAGATTTTCTTTATCATTTCACGAGTTATTTAAAGAATAATAATAATAATGATAAAGATATTTTTTTTTATCATTTCACGAGTTATTTAAATAATAATAATAATAATGATAAAGATTTTTTTATCATTTCACGAGTTAATTAAAGAATAATAATAATAATGATAAAGATTTTTTTTTATTATTTCACGAGTTATTTAAAGAATAATAATAATAATGATAAAGATTTTTTTTATCATTTCACGAGTTATTTAAAGAATAATAATAATAATGATAAAGATTTTTTTATCATTTCACGAGTTATTTAAAGAATAATAATAATAATGATAAAGATTTTTTTTTATCATTTCACGAGTTATTTAAAGAATAATAATGATAATGATAACAAGTACTCTATTCTAAAGACAACACGATACGTAATTAGTAATAATGATGGTTATAATTATGGTTTTAATTACAGTAGCAAAGTAACATTAACATCAGAATAACAGTGATTATGCTAAGACAACGATAAAATTGATACTAATATGATAATTAAAATGATAATGACGATACTGATATTAATGATAATGATAATGATATTGGTAATAACAATAATAATGGTAATGGTGATAATGCTAACAGTGATGATGACGGTGATAACAAAATTGATAATTATGATAATATAAACAGTACTGATAATGATAATGAAAATTTTGATAGTAATAACACCAAAGAATTATATATATCAGCAATAACAGAGCGGCAAAAATATTGTGGGAAAAAAAAAATATATGAAAAACAATGAACACTTAAAAGTTCCTTTACCTTCCCCCTCCCCCTCCCTCTCCCCTTCCCCTCCTCCTCTCCCTTCCCTCCTCCTCTCCCTTCCCCTTCCCTCCCCTCTCCCCCTTCCCCTCTCCCTCCTCCTTCTCCTTCCCTCTCTCCTCCCCCTCCTCTCCCTCCTCCCCCTCCCTCTCCCTTCCCTCTCCCCCTCCCCTCCCTCTCCCTCTCCCCTCTCCCCTCCTCTCACCCTTCCCTCCCTCCCCTTCCCGCTCCTCCCACTCTCCTCTCC